CCTCTCCGGGAGGAAGAGCTGCCTGAGACCCCACCTGAACCTTCCACTCTGACTTCTTCTCTCCTTCGCGGCAGTTCTCATAAATTCGGGATCGAGACACGAAGCAAAATACCTCAGCGGCATCTCTCACTTCTTGGAAAAGCTCGCCTTCTCCGTGAGTACCGTCGGGCTCCTCCGACCGAGATCCTGGGGTCTCGCACCGTAAATCCGGCGCTGGGGGCAGGGCCTGCTCCTTGCAGCAGTGCTGTGGGTCTGATCTGTTGAAATAGGCGGTGATGGCATTCCTAGTTAATTATTGTGACCGTAATTATATCTTGAAAGTCTGTTGTGCTTTCATCTCCAAGGTTAGTGAGCAGTAAACCGTTTGACTTAAAGAATGTAGAAGAAGATGCTTGTTCTGGGCTACACTGGAGGTTTATAAACAGTTATTGCTTTACTAATTAATCACGCTGGTATCTTCTCATAGTCCACAGCTCAGTTTGGCAGCAAAGACGAAATTCTCCTCACCTTAGAAAAGCACGGGGGCATTTGTGACTGCCAGGCGTCGAGGTATGATGCTTTCTCTGCGCTCTGTTACTGAAGTGTTTGTAACCCCCACAGTCGATTGAGTTGCCTTTTTCTGGTGTGTGGCAGTAAAAGCCAGTTTTTGCTTCTAAAGTGCAGAAATCCATTTGTGGCTGCTGCTACCGAAACCTGAAAGGGTTATAAAAGTTAGTTCTATTTCCTTTGGAGAGCATTTCACAAGTAATGGCCGAGCAGCTTTATCTGTGATCTCCGGATGCATTTACTGAATGATCCCAGAAGTAACTTCTCAGTGCAGAACCCATGTGCTTGTGTTGCAGGGACACTATAATGTACGCTGTTTCTGCGGATGCCAAGGGCCTGGACACGGTGGTCAACTTGCTGGCTGACGTAGCGCTACAGCCCAAGCTATCAGGTCTGGGAACATAAATCTCCGTCTCAAAAAAAGACTCCTATTGCATGACTTGCTGTTAGATTTCAGAACTGTTCATTAGATCGTGCTCATCAAGAAGCTGTCATGTAGCAATTGGGTATTTTGCATGGTGGTTGTTAATCTCTTGCTTTCTCTCTCGTTACAGATGAAGAAATTGAGATGACTCGAACAGCAATACGATTTGAGCTTGAAGACTTGAACATGAGACCTGATCCAGAGCCTCTCCTCACGGAAATGATCCATGCGGTAAAACACCGACAAGTCTACAGTTGCCTGTCTGAGACACGTTGCGTTATCTTCTTCAGTTTTTTCTCAACTTCATTTAGACTATTCTCAAAACAGATTTTTCTGTTATTCAGTTAGATCTCAGTGGCGGGAGAATTTTGCAGTCCCTCTACTTTGAAATCCTACATTCTACACCTGTGAGAGATTTTAACTGAACTAAAACCACCTGTCCCTTAGTTTTGTTGACGTGGGTGAGACCATGTTGTTGAATTACGCTCACATTAGTGAGAGAACGCCCAGGCTTTCCTTTCGTACACATTTCAAAACAAGTAGCCATAATTCTAAACCGGAGGTTTAGAGATGGAGGGGGCTGAAGGGATACTTGTTCCTTCAACGTGTCTGTTTCCTTTCAGGCAGCCTATGGAGACAACACAGTTGGGCTGAACAGGTTCTGCCCAGTGGAAAACACAGACAAAATCAATCGAGAAGTCCTGCACTCGTACCTGCGCAACTACTACACGCCCGACAGGATGGTGCTGGCCGGGGTGGGAATCGAGCACGAGCAGCTGGTGGAGTGTGCAAGGAAACACCTGCTTGGAGTGGAGCCCGTGTGGGGCACTGGGCAGGCCAAGGACGTGGACAGATCGGTGGCTCAGTACACGGGAGGCATTGTCAAGGTAAAAGGCAGGCGAAGGTGGCATCGTGCCTCCCCTGTTGGAGGTGCAGATTTGGATTTGAGGCTGTTTCTCTATAGGCTTTGCTTTTCTAACATATACTGTTCACAAATATGAGCCAAACCTGGCCGTGACAGCCATTACCTGGGTGATAGGTTAGTTATTAGGAGTGTACCGAGCTGGATACCATAGAGGTGAAAATGGGTCCTAATCCTTTGTCTGCCTTTCCCACAGGTTGAAAAAGATATGTCAGATGTGAGTCTGGGCCCTACTCCCATCCCAGAGCTCACCCACATCATGATTGGGTTAGAAAGCTGCTCATTTTTAGTAAGTATCAACCTCAGATCCTTTGGTTTGGGTGCCCTGTACTTGAAGAATCCCAAAATACTCTACCTCATTAGGTAAACACTGCTCTTGCTGCTGCAAATACAAACAGCTTTTTCACTGACAGTTTGATGAAGGCTTTTACTGACTTTTCTGCTCTTTTTACACCATGTTTCCCCCTCTTTCCTCAGCCCCTTGAGAGCTCTGCTATCAGCTGACTGAATTTCTTGTTGTAATTCAGGAGGAAGACTTCATTCCCTTTGCGGTGTTAAACATGATGATGGGAGGTGGTGGCTCGTTTTCAGCCGGAGGGCCTGGCAAGGGCATGTTCACGCGGCTGTACCTCAATGTGCTCAACAGGTCGGTTTGCAGAAACGGTCTTCTCTAGGCAGGTTCACATGGAAGCCTTCATCTTCTGAAAGCCAGCAGCCCCAGGTTTTACATCAGCTTATTCCTGCTTGAAACAAGCGGGTTTGATTTGTCAGCGGGCGCTTTGAGAGGGTGAAAGGGCAGAAGTGACCAGGAATCCTGTCTTCCTGTGCTAGTGCAATCCATCCTTTAACTGGGGAATCGTGACACAGTTGGCAGTAGGTCCCAGTAATGCTGCTCTGTGTTGTGCTGGGTTTGGTCTCGAGGATGCAAGTGGAGAGAAGGCAGTAAGACAGCAAATTGTCGGAGGCAGGGACTGATGGTTCTCACTGGTGTTGCCAAGAATCTTGAAAACAAATCCTGAAAATGCTAGGCAGGGCCTCGCTGTCTATGTTTGTTTAATTCTTATATTTAAACTCTGGGGTTCAAATTCTTAAATCCTGTTTGTGTGCTCGCAGGCACCACTGGATGTATAATGCAACCTCTTACCACCACAGTTACGAGGATACCGGCCTCCTGTGTATACATGCCAGTGCAGATCCCCGACAGGTACGCAGCCCCATATTCAAAGACAGGTGTCCTTAAAAAGGAATCCCATCGCTTATCACCAGACAATAATGTTAACAGAGTAAGCCCTGTCCTAATCGTCTGTCAATTATCTGCTTTCCCTAGGTTCGAGAGATGGTGGAAATCCTCACAAAAGAATTCATTCTAATGGCAGGAGCAGTAGGAGAGGTCAGCAGCCTAACTTGCGGAGGGTCTTTGAGCTGAAATATTGCCTTGCTACAATGAGTTTTTGTAGCTAAGTATGTTACACATTTCTGTGAAAATACAGTAACTTTAGCAACACATGAAGAGGAAGGCGTTTCCAGAACTCTAAGTGATATCTTGTACTCGAGAGCAGTGGCCAGACTTTTTTGAACATCTGTTTGTTCTTACAGGTAGAGCTTGAGCGAGCGAAGACGCAGCTGAAGTCCATGCTCATGATGAACCTGGAGTCTCGGCCAGTTATTTTTGAAGATGTGGGAAGGCAAGTGTTGGCAACAAACACAAGGAAGCTACCTCAGGAGCTCTGCGCCCTGATCAGTGAGTAGACAATGCTTTTCCTTGCCTTGACTGAATGGTGGGTGCAGTTGGGATGGGAGAACTTAAAACATATTCTTGCAGCACAGATTAATTGCCTTCGAAAGTCTGGGGCGCATAAAAACTGCAGGTCTGTATTCTGAACTCCTCAATTGTTTGCAGACCAGCACAATGCTTATTTTTGTCAGAAGAAAGGAAAAAAAACAAACATGAAAGAGAAGGTCTAGAGTTAGTGATGGAGTTTGTGAGTGTGGAGTCTGACTCAGCATTACAATAAAGCAGCTTCATGATATATAGGTCACAGCTCTGGCTATTTTTTATTTTTTTCCTGCAGGTCAGGTGAAATCTACAGATATCCGGAGAGTTGTCACGAAGATGCTTCATAAGAAACCAGCCGTGGCTGCACTGGGTGATTTAACAGATCTGCCCACTTACGAGCACATCCAGTCAGCGCTTTCCAGTAAGGACGGGCGACTCCCCCGGACGTACCGGCGCATATTTCATCCTGCACAGCTGACAGACTTGCTTCTTTTTTAATATGTTTTTGAGATTATAATATTGCTGTACGCCCTTCCCCCCATCTTTCCAGGCATACTGTGCAAACATGGAGCTATGCTACATCTGAGCAAAGCTGCTCCACAACACTGGGCTGCAAAAAGCACATTATGTTGGGCTGTAACGTCCCACCTTGGCTCTGGATAAGTACTTTGACCCTCTGAGTAGGTGACGAGAGAAGACGGGTGTATTCAGCCTTCTCTTGGCAGTGGGGAGAACACGGCAAGGCAAAATGCTCATCACTACACTGAAAGAAGTCGGTCACTGCTGGATGTTGCCATTTAATTGCATCAGCAGTAGAGGTGGGGCTGTCACGCCAGAGGCCCCAGCGTGTGCCCTTCTTGAGGAAGGTGGTGGCGTGTTAAAGAGCCTGGCTTACATATCTGAATTCAAAGAATATTTAGAGGTCTCTTTTTAAGACTAGGTCGAACTGAATTATCAAAATTCAGTAGCTGGTCCCCATGAGAAGTTAAGGCAATAATCAGCTTCCTGCAGTCCGGATCCATTGCATCAGTGGCATTTACCATCTGTCATCTGGCAGCGACTGAAGTCATAGGTCTGGAAATAACTTCATAATTTTGGTAGAGCTCAGAGGAAAGTAAACTTGTAACGTAAGTTTCTGTGGAGCATCACCCAGAGATGCTGTGCATACTGCTACATGGGCGCTTCTCCAGAATCAAAGGGATGCTATTCTCTCGTTCACTTGCAAGTAAAAAAACTGTGCTAAAGAATTAAAGTTCTTTTACTCCAGAGGTGGTATCCAAACAAAGTTATTAAAGGAGCTGCTGTACCTTCAACTCATACCCAATTTCATCATTGTCGCTCAGATGAACTTAAATACAAAAAGACGTAATGGTCAGTCTCACAGCAGAAATGTCGCTCAGCTAGGATTCAAGATCAACAAAATGACATTTAGAAAGCTTAGGATCCTGAAAGTGACTGACACTGTGGTATGGAGAGACAGGAGGTGCCACACATTTGGCATAGTGAAGAAAAGGAAACCCAAAAGAGAGGAATAAACATTTAATTTATGTAATCCCCTGACATGTAGGCTTAAAAACGACAACAGCTGCATTGCAGCACTTGACTGGCTCGGTGTGTGTTGTAAGGAGCAAGCAAACTGGGAGCAGAACGCTGCGACGCAGCTGTTACCTGCTCTGTCCCCAAACCTTTCCTCATGCAACTAAAAGAAAGCACGGTGCATCGCTTCTCGTGGAACCCACAGCATGGAACTGCTACTCAGTTGTTGTGTCTGTTTGTAAGAAAATAAAAGAGACCTCTTGGTTACTAGAACGAGTGATAAATGCTCTGAAATTCATCAGCTGCTGGCTGGGTTTCTTGCACTGGGAGGTGATCCCAAAGAAATCTGTCTCGCTTTTCCAGCTGAAGACAAGTGCCTTGGGTCCCCCCCTTGGTTAGCATGCGTCACACCGTCAAAAAACAGTAGTTCTGACAACCCTGCAATAAGAGCTGGCTCTCATTTAAAGTATTGCATTAATTTATTTGTATTCCTTTAAAAAGAAAGGAAATATCCGATGGCTACAGGCAGATCAGTGCCATAAATTTTTGTACCGCAGAACAAAACCGCAGAGCTTTTGTCCCAAGCTCTGTCTTGGACAGGTTGCATAGTTAGCAGCACTTCCTCCAAGTTGTTTGCACGGTGTTCTGTCTGCTAAGGTGAGTAATGGTCCTGCCGATCTGTGCCCATGGAGAGTTTTTAATTATTAGCTGTACTTAACGCTTTACCAGTGCTGTGCTGGTCCATGGAATATGTTGAGCCTTAAGACAACGCTACTGCAAAACCAGCAAGTTATTCACAGTTGACAGAATTGGGGGAAAAAAATGAAAAAAAAAAAGGAACTCCCTGTAACCAGAGGTAATGGAACTGCGCTGATCTGACTGGCAGCAGCTTCTCTGCATGATTCCCTGGGATCCTCACTTGACGTCACAATCGCTTTGGTGAAGGGTTACACAGTAGCTGTACTCAGACCGTTATTTTCAAGTCAAAGAGTCCTGCTGCTGAAGGCAGGTACGGTTTTACTGCCCCTGGGCAGGACAAGGGAGTTAAAGAAGGGATTGTTTCAGTCTCAACAGCCAAACAGATGGTGTGAGAGATTGGTATTTACCCCCTTAGGAAGAGAAGGCCTGTAGAATAATTCCTGAAAGGCAATGTTTCTACACTTCAGAGGTACAGCAGTACATTCACGCAGGTCTTGCTGTAGAGGACCAAAAAAGCCCAACACAGGAGCACCATCCTTACACACAAAAACCGGCCCACGTTTCCTGTCTGGTCCCTGTTAACACATTTTACAGAATACTGGACACTGGCTACAGATAAGGAGAAAACAAAATACCACCCCACAACATAGGTAAGCATACCAGATCAAATCAAACAAAACCAGACAAAAACGTTCACCTTTCTGCAGGCTTTTCTTAGGTCCCCAGTGATGCCAGTTCCAGCAGCGGTGCCCCCTGCCTGGAGTCATCTTAGAACCAAGAGACTGCACCTGGTTTCTCCCAAGGACAGTATGGTTAAAAATAAATCGATTACATCTGTCGGGATGGATGTCCTAAATAACTGACTCCGTTTTCTTCAGCAAAAGCACTTGAGCTACATGGATTAGCTCATGCAAATGAATCCAGGATGAGGTTTAAGACATTCTTCACAAGCCGCAGGAACTGCCAGAGGTGCTTAAGCAGACAATTCCTTGCCAAGTTTGCCATGGCCTGAAATCCTCTTTCCGGGCACCTCTAACACAAGCATCGCAGAGTTCTCAGCTCAGGAAATGCTACATATGCTGCTGGATTTTTGGTCCTTTTGCTCTCGCCGTTTCTGAAGTTCCCTTGTAATCCGCCTCTTTATTCCGATTAAATAGAGTTCTCTGTCAAACTGCCCTGCAGCAAGTGGAATGCTACAATACAAACAGAAACAATTAGGTCAAGGCACAAATATGTTCTGGTTTGCCCAACTTTTCCCAACTAGTTCATACAACAAAGGCCAGACACCTAACTTTTACTTGCTTAAAGCCTTTGGCTGCTGCTGTGGGAGAAAATGGGTAAAAGAAAGTTGTTTCCTCCACAGCAACCCCTTAATGTTTTTCACAACACATTTCAATGAAGAAAGCATTGGTTGTAAAAGGCAAATGTGCTTTCAATTTAAGCACGAACGTGCCTGCATTCATAAGGGGCATACACGGAGGACATTCTTTGTGACACTAAAAAAACCCCCCCACTTATCTCCAAAACTAAACCGTTAACTTGGTGTGGTCGCTGGTACGGTTTCACGCACCTTGGTCTGTTCTAGAGAGGCCAGAAGGAAACCCCAGCTTCACAGACTCTGCAGTACTTCTATTTAATGGGTATTTAATACCCATAAACAAGCAACCAAAAAAATCCCAATTCGAATTGCACGGCTGATCAAGTGCTTTGAAAAGTCACCATTTTTCTAGATGCTTGGGGTCTTGAAACTCCTCACCAGGCAACTCACAGAGAAGAGACTAATTACTTTGCAGTTCCTTAACCAAATTTTCTAAGGAGTTCTACTAGCACAACAGCACAGAGTGGGACATGAAGAACTCGGAGGATCTCAAAACACCCACTGACATATAATTATGCTGAAATGTAGCCCCCACCGGGGAGGGAAAACAACAACATTGATCCCAGAGAGGGAAAGTCAGATGAAAGCTGTCCATGCTTACAGGAAAAACTGTGAGCTGCATCTCAGGTGGAACACAGATTTATAGCCAACTGCAAACTAAAACTCCGTTGATGTCCCTCAGGAGGATTAAGGGACCTGGCAGCAGGGATTTCCGATGTCAGCGCAAGCTTTAAGGAATCTTGCTGCTCTGACTACTGAGAGCGCACACTGTGTACAAAACAAACGTGCTGCGGAGAGCGACATGGGACAAACACTGTTCCAGGAACTCTCCTGAGAGGACCGACTCCAAACAGGAGCGAATCCTCAGGATCACTGGAGCTACGTGCAATCACAGGAGGTACTAACTTGTCTCTGCCAGGCCTCACTTTCACACGGAACAAGGCAAACACAGGCCGATGGTCTGAAGTTTTGATCACGGGACAAGATGAGTACTTGACAGCGTGGATGTCATCTCTGTACCGACTGCGGTATACAACTCGATCCTGGGAGGCAGAGAGAGAGGGGAGACTGATGGGCATTCCCTTGGCACATCCCCCCGGGAGAGCAGCACTGGTTCACAAGAGAAAATCCACTCATTTATCACACGCCACTTAGTGAAATTAAGTGTCACGGACAGGGATACATTCCTGAAGAATGTGTGTCCAGCCCCAGGAGCCGTTCTGTGCTCGGTTCGGAGCACAGCGGGGAATGCACTGGAGCAGGATGTAAGGCAGGGAAACTAAGATTAGCAGCCTGTGCCAAACTTTCTAGGGGCTCACAGATCCAGCAATTCTTTCCTCCAAACCAGCTGCCCTGTTGCCCTTAAGTGACAAATCTCAGGGTGAGTGAGGCAGGCGTGAAGCTGAGCAGCCCTTCCGAGCACACGGCTCTGAAACCGTCCCTTACCGTGTAGGAAGGGGTCCTTTGTTTGGAAGTGGTGTCATAACTGTCTTTTCCTATGTCAAACTTGTAGGAAGGACGGAAATGAATGTCAGCCTCCTGGAATCCTTTGAAAATAGACCCTGTAGGGGAAGAATAGAACAGCATGAACAACAAATTTCTCCTCCCTAAGAACCCGGCACACTTTCTGCCTTTATTCAATGTCGCTGGTTAGAAACAACAGCTGTCTACATATGTGACTAGAAAAACCTGGGCTTGGGCTCCAGGAAGGAAGCAAGCTCAAGTTCTTACATAGTGAGGACAAAAAGTAGCCAGTGGCTATTTAGTCAGTGGCAAGTTAAACAAAGAATACCTGGTGCACACCCCTCCCCTTTCATGGAAAGCTCCTGACGCTTTGCCAAGGCCAGCTGTTCAAATCCAAACGCCCCCCACACTGTGACAGGATGATGTCCAGTTTATAGAGGAGTCAGAGCAATAAACAGCTTGGGAGATTACACTGACAAATAGCAAAAAGCCCCTTGTACAGATGTATCTGACAACTGCCAACGTCCTTTTTTGGGGTGAACTTAACAAGAGAAAGAAGGAAAGGTCTCTAGGAGATAGGGATTTGGCTGTAATTATGTGTATGCATAGATCTCGCTGTTCCTGGCGGCTCACCTCTACTCATTTCACTAGTGAGCTGGTCATACGCCAGTAGCTTGGACACGTCTGTTTCTGGGTTCTGGTTCAAGATGGAATCCACAGTCTCGCGATCCTTATTTAGCCGGAAGTTGAAGTCACCAAACCAGAACACTTCATCAAACCGAGTGGTGACATCACCTGCAAATTCAAGTCAGAAGTGTCAGTATAAAGGCAAACATCCTGAAAACCTGAAAAGTTCTGAAAGCAAAAAAAAAAAAAAAAAGCCACACTTTTCTTCCCTGAAGCTACAGCTACATGTTCCTTAAAATGAAACTCAAGTTAATCCTTTCAAAGTGAGAGCGACATGACCCATAGCTCACTGAGAGTGCTGCTAGATATGTTCAAGGAACAGGCACAAATTCTTTCTTTTTACTACTAGGATATAGTACTTAAGCATGTTTCTGCCTAAAACCATCACAAAATGTGGTAACAATAAACCAGTAGAAAACAGAACGAAAATTTTTAAAAATCGTAGAAAAAGCTGAAAAGATACAGAGTATCTGTAGGGCCTAAAACCAGTATGAACATAAACAGCTGTGGTGCAGATAAAGAGTAAATCTCTCCAGAAAAAGGGCGTAGCCACATATCTAGGAATCGCATAAACAGCACAGTATTAAGGAACAATAATAGAATTTGGCAAACGCAATTAGCACTCTCATTCTCTCACCCTTAGCACAGACTGAAAGGCAATGCACAAACTCTGCTCGTTTGGGCTCCCACACAAGCAGTTTCCCACTTACTAGAACTGGATCGATAGGGGTTTGTGTCTGGAACGTTCTTGGGAAGTGTAAGGGTTTGAATGGTTTTATTGTAGTCCAGTTTCCTCTCATTCACCTTACTGTCCCCAGCTGAAAGACAGAGATCCCATTACTGCCAACAATGCACTTTTTTTCATTCAAGTATCACTTTTGCTTCTAACAAAGGACATCAGACATTTTCCATGTGTAAAATGTAACACTCTGACCCAGGGAGCACACACACTGAAAAATAATGACAGAAACTATAGAAAAAGGGACATAATAATTGTGCAGTTCATGTCTAAACCCTATTTCTTTTTAAGTTTGCTACCAAAAATCCTCCCCCTTTATTGCTCTCAGCTCAGCAGTCCTGAGCTTTGACTTAAGTCTGTCCTGAGCCTCTAACCCCCCTGCAGTTTTTTTCCTTTTGCAAAGCAACCCCCCTCCTCCCTCAATCAGGACACTTCTAACAAGATTGTAGGTGTCTTACACGTGAAGTGGGAGGTGATGAAGAGAAAGGAGGTCCCAAAAAACGTGAAGCAGATTCCCAGAGCTCCCTTGGTTTTGATCTGAGACACGATTCGAGTTGTCACCGTGGCATACTCCACTTCTGGAAGGAAAAAAAAGAAGCCACTTTTACTGAAAAGCCTCTAGAGACAGTGAGGGACAGCCTCAGAGAAAAGGACAAGACAGCTGGTGGCAGCAGCTTTCTCCTGCCCGCTCTCCAGCCCTTCCTGGAGCACACACCTGAGCAGAACCAGATCAGGTCCCTCCGAATGAAGACCGACATGTAGAGCACCCCATGCGCTGCAGAGTAGAGCATGACGTAGTGGGGGCCTAACGTCTCCTGCAGGCGGATCTCCCACTCTCTTCTGCAGGAAGGAACAGCAGCTGCGTCACGAGGACAGTAGGAGACACAATAACCAGAACAGGACATCGGCATTGTGAAAACAGAGCGATCTCTCTGGTGAAAACAGAGGCCAACGGCCAGTCTGTGAGCTACAGCACGGCCGGCTCCGACCGATGGTCAGACGACCACAGAAAAAAGCAAGGAGTTTTGCTATCGGCTGCCCTGGCGACAGGACCAAGTTCTGTATTTACAGATTTTGGTCACATTTTCCTCTAAACCCCATTTCTCCTAGTGCTCATGCAAGAGAACTCAATGTATTATTAAGAGGCGTCCCTGCCCATGACAGGGAGGTTGGACTAGATGTTCTCCAAGGTCCCTTCCAGCCTAGGCCATTCTAGGATTCTATGATTAAATGGTTTATAGAAAATATTAAGAATATGATGGCGACTATTTCCAGACTAATTAAAAGCAAAGTAATTAGTTAACAGTAAAAGAGGATGGTTCATTACATTGTTTTTTCTACCTGTCTGGACAGCCTTCTTGAACCCCAATGACATACATGTCCTGGGCGTAGTCAGGATCGGTTGGTAATAAGAAGTCATCCAGATTCACTGGAAGTTCCTATTGTTAAAAAAAGAAAAAGTTAATAGTTAAACCAGCGATATTAGTTATGCAAAGATTTACTAGAAAAGTACAAGAAAAGCACAGGCTAAGCTACAAGTTCCACAGCATAGGCAAACATTTTAGGCTTCAAAAACTAAGTTAAAATTTTCCTTCCCAAAGGCGAACTTCAGCTGCTGCTGCCCTGGCAGTAACCAAGACCCCACAGCTCAGCCCTGCGGGCCAGTAACGCGATGTTTCCAATCTCCTGCGGTGCTCGCTTTTTACCAAGCAACACAGTCATGAATGGAAATAAACACACTGCACCAGTCCTTGCAGAAAAGATGGGATAACTGGCAAAAGACCCGTGGAGACTTCTGTGCACGTACCTTCTGACCCTGCATGTTCCACGTGGCCACAAAAATTCCAATATTCCGATCAGGGAAGTATCTGCTAAGTTCTTCTGCTCCCAGTAAGGCACCACTCGCCAGAAGGCTGCCTTCCAAATAGCTTCTGTGAACAGCAGACCCACAGAAGAGTACGTAAGGAAACCGCTGGACAGTTGGAATGATGATTTATAACACTTGAATCTTGAGCTAATCAAGACTCTTTACCTCAAGAAAAAGGTATTTAATACTTATCTGCTGTTCTGCTTGCATAAAGTTCGTTAGAACGTTCTAATCCTTACAGACAGTTCACAGATCACATGCAAAATAACAAAACTACTGTCACAAAACAGCATTTTCAAAGTCAGGACATGAGTATGACGGCGAGACTGCTGCTGCACAGGTTCAGTGTTGAGAAGACTGAAGCCACCCAGAGAACTTCAATCTCCCTAATACTCGCCACAGCGACAAAACGAAGACATTGGTTTGATACCTGAGCATCTTGAAGGGATTCACTTTATTTAAAACATGAAAATAGCTCTGCCATTCCCAGTGTTCTGGCACCAAGCTGCTCCCAAGCAACTCTTAAAACTCACGTTCTTCCTTCACTTCTGCTGATCAAATTAGCTTTTAAGTCATCGTTTTATTGTGGCTGAGGTCTAAGAGAATATTGCGTAGGAAGCAGACAGATCTGCCCCAGCTGCCTGCCTCTCAGAGAAGATGTTGCTTACAAAAGCAAGGGGTACTGGCAAAAGGACTGCAAGTTAAATAAGCATTTTTAATCTTGCTTAAGCTCTGCAAATAGCAATGCCAGCATCATGTCAGGGCAACATGTGGTGCAGCACACTGGTCCACCCAGCTGCCCACCTGAGTCCCACGGCTTCTTCATGGCAAGCAAGTAACAATCTATCGTTGGGGCTTTCTGACCAGGTAGTAACGCTTTCTCTTAGAATTATTTTCCCTCTTACCACTGACTCCCACTCTTCGGCTCCTTCGAGGTCTTGCAGATCGTCTATAACCTAGAACCTTTAGCTGAGACCTGGGCATCCTTTACCTTTTAACGTGTTTCCTAACCTGCAGCACCATCAACAAGGCTGGTTGCAGGGCTTGTGCTGCGTGCTGGCAGGTCTTCGCAAAGAGAGGGTCTGCAGCCAACACAGGGAGAGGATTCGACATGCTCCCAAGCAGATTAAGGGACTCCTGCAGTTCCCTCCAATCAGCAATCTAAACTTAACTCCAACGAAGACAAACAAGCAACCAGAGCAAAAGGTCAGGGCTACGCTAGGAGAAAGTGCCGAGATGCGAGTGGAATCACACCGTTCCTGAAGAGACTGCTGGAAAAGGGAGGCAGAGGAGCTCCTGTGAGAAACTGAAGCAGTTCACAGCACCTGGTGTGATCCTGCCAGAAGCCAAACAAGCTCAACATCTGCAGAGGACCCTCAGCACCTTGTAGGACTCTGATAGTCCTGCATGTACTGCATAAGAGTTTCAAGCTAAATATTTAGGCTTTTTCCCCTGCATTTCAGTTCAAGCTCAACGTACCTTCAGATTTTAAGTAAAATAATAAAATATAGTTTTTTCCAAATGTCAGCATGCTCAGCTACTGCTTCTTAATTTTCAAAACGGGTTACTTAAACACTACAAGCAAGCTGACGGCAAATCAAACATATTCATGAAAAACAACACACAGCTGAAAGGAGCAGATATAGTGTATTTGGACTAATCTCTCCATCTTCGACCTGCTTCCAGCCTCCACAGCAGGTTAAACAACACAGAACAACTTCTGCGCTTCACCGATTGGTGGGAAATTCCCCACCTCCACTCAGCAGGATTCTGCAGGGCAGCTGGCTCCCGGCAAACACACCTCAAACGTCGCCACGAGAAGTTGGGGCACATACCTGCTTCGAACATCCTTGGAGCGAATGGGAGTGAGCAGGCTGAACGTAGATTTCATGGACTCCGTGGAGCAATTATCATAGACCATCCCGTTGCCGTGTAGCCTGGTATCGCTCAAGCTGCTGCTCACCCTTCCAAACTTGTGCTGAGAATAATGCCGATAATCCATATAATCTGAGTCAATCTTATTAGCTGTCCTCAGTGTGTGAGAGGCCACGTTGAGCTCCATGGGTGGCAGAGGTCGAGCCGGCACTATTTGCGACAGCCGGGGTTTGCCGCCCACAAACGCTTTCCCCCGCAGAAGCCCACCAAAGGCACTGGAGATCTCGGAGGCTCGTTTCCCCAGGTCAGAGGTGCCTCCTCTGCTCTTCCCCACGGGACTGGCTTCTTCCGAGGCGTCTGGCGAACTGTGCAAGGAATCCTGCTGGCAGGGGCTCACCCTACCCCTGACGAGAGGGCTGAGGGACGCCTCCTGCAGGGAACCGTTTGAGGAACTCGTCTCATTAGGATCGGTCAGACTTTCCTGACTCGTTCTAAACCGCCTCCACCTCCTCCAGCTCTTCTCATCCAGAGATGCAGCACGCTCCAGCCGGGGTTTCCGAGGAGGTCTTGGGGTGATCGATTTAATTTTCATATTAGCTTTGAGTTCACCCGGTAGAACCTTTAAGGTTTCATTTAAAGAAGTGCCTGCACTCGGACAATCTTCAAAGGTAAGCACCCCATTGCCACCAGCCTCCTTCTTTGCTGCTCTGCCAGCTTTTTTAGCGTGCAGGTCCTGTACAGCTCCACCCTCTGTGCTCTGAGGAACACAAGCCCCTGAGTGCTGTGGAAATCCATTTGGAGTACTCATTCTCCCCCAGGGTACCAGCTATGGACACTGCTCCATAGAAAACATTCCTCACAGGACAGCTTTCTTCCCTCGCTTACCCTGTACGTTCACAGGGCTTTAACCAAGCCAGAAAGCCATGGAAATTGAAGATCGCTCAGTCCTTAGGTGAGAAAGAACGGCAGGCGCACGCGTAGGCAGATGCATCATCCGTAAAATTTCAAGAGCTGGGATACCTGGAATTTCCCAAGGGAAACACGAAAGAATAAAAATTTATTGAGCTGCAAACTCTGCACCTTAATCCGAAAGCAAACTCCCTCTGGAACAACTCAAACCTTAACGTGACCTTGTTAGAAAACCAACGTTATTTTGTTTTCAAGACCGGAGCAATGGACTGACTTCCTGGAAGCATCAGAGCCTGTGTACAGAAAAGGAAATTAAAAAGGTTGGGGAAATTAAAGCCACACATAAAGTGCAGCGAGGAAGATACCAGCCTCCAGGCCACCCCAGAGGAAATTTCCAGTGATGCCGCCTTCTCCCATGACCTTCCCTTGCTGTGCC